ACACCGCAGTCCTCAAGAGTAAAGGCGAAAAGAATTAGGATAACAAATATTTAATGGGTTAACGTATACCCAAGGAACTCATTGCTATAGTTATTGAACTTTTACTTTTATTTACAAATTTTTCTTATAATTCAAAGTTAGTTGTTTATGTGATTACATTCATTATTCATTACAATGAATTATAGATGGTAACAAATTTATAAATATTAATTATTTATTTGAATTTCGAAACGGGATAAATCTACCTATAATCTCAGTACAGTCTTAATGGGATTAATAAATTACACCGTTTCTAATTTTCCTTCAGATTTGTAGTATTGTTTCAAATTGATCAAAATATAATAACCAAACTTTTTAAAATAATGATAAAAAATTTTACATGTCTGTTAACGGGTTAATTTCTTTTTGAAAATGTAAATAGTCACTTTATCACGCTTTCGTCCGTCAAGTTAATCTTTTTTAACATAAAATTAACATTTTAACTTAACTAAATTCACTAATTTTCGTGGTTCGCTTGACCAATTAATATCTTTTAATTAACTAAGGTTTTTAGTTGAGATAGAAAAGACAGTGTCGCCAGCGGGATTCGAACCCACGACCTTCGGTAAAATACGCCGCCACTCTACCACTTGAGCTATCGTGACCTCGATCCACTCGGACACCAACTTCCCATCTCAACCGCACCTTTTGAATTTTCCCTCCTTTTTGCCATTTTTCAATCAAGCCGAAGATCGTGGGTTCGAATCCCCGTCGTGCCATTGACTTTTTTATCTCAACTAAAAACCTTAATTAATTATAATTAATAAATGGTTTGTTAATCTATTTTGCGGTTTATAGCCAAAACCATTTTATTGAGTTAATTTCTCGTCGTTGCTGATTAAATCGAGATTATTAACTAGGAAAATCAATCACAGATTAGGTCTTCAAATACCACCAAATGCTTTATTAGAAAACTTTGCATTCAGAAAACCCGGCAAATACACTGACAGGAAAAAAACTTCACCCAATTGATTTTTTTTCTCGATAAAAGAAAATTATGTTCTTGTCTTATTGTTTTTACCAATGAATATTTGTTTATTCTACCTTCTCAATTGGGAATTTCAATTAGAAGTAAACACAATTAATCCTTAATCTAAAACAAGGGTGAAGGATTTTTCAATGTTTACTTTTTACGGAATTTAAAATGTTTATTCAGTCTCATTTGAATTCTGAAGGGATAAACCGTTTGGTTTTCATATGTTTTCTTAACATTCAATTAATTAAGGTTTTAAGTGAGATTAAAAAAGTCAGTGTCACGAGCGGGATTCGAACCCACGACCTTCGGCTTGATACGCTGCTACTCAACCCCGACTTTTGAATTTTCCCTCCTTTTTGCCATTTTTCAATGGTGGGTTCGAATCCCGCTCGTGACACTGACTTTTTATCTCAACTAAAAACCTTAATTAATTGAAACATATTAATTGGTCACGCGGACCAGAAAAACTAGTGAATATTTGCTAAAGAAGAAACGAAAATATTAGAAAAACCACATCTCCACATTTTTTGAAAAGTATACTTTCACAAAATTCGAGAGGTGGGGTTGAGCTTGGAAGTGTCCGAGTGGATCGAAGTCATAATAGCTCAAGTGGTAGAGTAGCGGCGTATTTAGCCGAATCTTGTGGGTTCGAATACCGCTCGTGACACTGACTTTTTTATCTCAACCAAACCTTTCATAAATATTAATTAATTCAAAAATGTTAATTGGTCAATCTGACCACTAACTGTAATGGTTGTAAACCATATAAATTTTGCTAACAATAAACTATCTACCTATGTAAAGATGATTGGTTATGGCCTCGTGAGTCAGGTTTAGGCGTTGCATAAAGCAGGATATTCATGACCTTCAATCAGCCCGTCCTTCGTTGGTCGATGATGTTGAATTATTCTCGAGTGTAAGCCAGGACTCGTACGCAACCCTCGCGGCTTACAGGCCTCAACTGGGACTTCAAACACTAAGATACGACGTATTCTTGGTAAACCTGGCCCGGATCAGTTCTTAATAATTCATTGAGATTCGAGGTACTACGACAATGTATGTACAAGCATCAAAAATTGTTGCTCATTTTGAATGTGAACCATTAATAAAAAACGTTTGTATATATATATATATATATATATATATATATATATATATAGCAATAATTAGTAGGGTGTATTTTTTAAAATTAGTAGTATTTAAAACTATTTTATCAAACACAAAATACTGCTCGGTTAAGAACAAGTAAGAACGAATGTGTAGAGAAATAAGGTAGAAGATAAAAAATGTAGAGTATTTTCTAAGAGATACGAGGTATTTTGAGAAGGGGGAGGAAAGAATGCGACAGACATAAAATTTGGAAGAAAAAAGTGTAAGAAATGGAGAAAGTGTATAATAGATACATAGAGAAAAAGTGTTTTCGGTAAAGAATATGAGAGAGAGAGAGAGAGAGAGAGAGAGAGAGAGAGAGAGAGAGAGAGTAATATACAGACAGACATACGCATAGAACCTAAAGAGAGATATATCGTAAGATGGAAAGGTTAAGGAGGTCCCGGGGCCACGTAGTTGAGGCGACGTGGTGGGTTGTCAAGATGGGAATGAGTGGAGAGGGCTCGAGCAGTATCATTAGATTGGTTGGAATGGGTGGGGTGGAAGGTTTGGAATCTAGACCGGATCGGGGTGGTACAGTGTGGTCGAGGAGGGGGTGCAACCTGATAAGGTGAGCCTCTTGTCCTCGATCACTTCCCTTTCTCAATCCAGGTCGTTCGGCATTGAGACCTTTCCCAACCCTTGGGATGCACAACATTATGGTGTAGCCTTGGGAACGTGGCAACCTCTCTAAAGCACAAGCTGGATTCGTGTCGGCGGCCGGGTCGGCAGAGGACAGCGGGTGCTTTATCAGAGGCACACGAGGGTTAGGGTACCAGATCCTGTCTGCAAAGACGGGGGAGGGTGCATAACCATCTGAACTACAGGGTAGCAGAAAATGTTCCAAGTCCAGCTCTGCTACATGGGAATGGACTCGTAGTGGATTAGTGGCGGTGCTCCTTGCGAGAACTTAGTGTGAACCTGTTGCTCGGGGTACCGTTCGCGGTTTCCTTCTGAGGGCACTGTTCCTCTAGGGAGTGGTTAGAAATTCCACTTTAAACAAAACCGCTACCGAAGCGGATCCGGAAGTTCTTAACCTGGAGAAGCCCCAATACTCTGGGAGATAGTCAGTCGCTTTCTCTATCTAAGGAGCCGGCGGGACGGCTGATGCATTTCACCCATCTGAGGTTACCCTTTGCCGTACGGCACACGGTTTGGTGCTTAATGCAGCCCAATCCACTCGGAATGGACAAACGGAGAGTGAGGTGCGTCATCTCTCATCTTAAGAATCAAAACGTCCGTAGCCCGAAAATGCTAGGTACGGGCGTTAAAGATCCTCATGTTTTTTTAAGCGACCGGATCAGTTCGTTGACAAAAGGAAACTTGAGGTCTTTGTGGGTAGTAAGGTTAGTGGCATAATAAGGTGTTTTGACAATTTCCCTAAGGACTTTCGATAGGAAGGACTGGATGCGCTGGATATTGGATGGCTTGGCAGCATCCCACAAGTTCCACTCCGTATCTCCATATTGGTCTTAGTAAAATCTTGTGGACTGTTAGCTTTGTCTTAGTGGTCAAAGTCGATTTCGGTCGTAGTAGTTCAAGTCTTATATTGAGTTGTTGTTTTCTAAGTCTTGTGTCGAGATATAGACATGGAAAGAGAGAGAGAGAGAGAGAGAGAGAGAGAGAGAGAGAGAGAATCCAACATTCGAATTGAATATTTTATTTATAAAAGCTCGCAAAATTAGGACTAATGAACTTTTCTTACATTTAATGAGCATTCGTACATACAAATAAAGGTTACATAATTCAAATTACAAAACAGGTATAATACAAATGTAATTTTTTCATATATACGGATAGGTATAGGGAGGAGGGATAGGGATTCTGCACCTCGATCTGAGATCCTGAGACCTGAGTGCTCCTCTGTTTTTATAACTCAATGGCCAGCTTCAGGTTGTTAATTAATCTACATAGCCTTTCAAGCCTTCGTCCGCCATAGCCTCCTTAGTGTAGATTCTAGCTTCTGTTTCCTATCCTTGTTGCTAGAACCTGCAACGACATAGACCTTCACAGAAACAGAAAATGTGTTCTGCGGTCTCCTCCTCTTCCTGGCAGTATCTGCACAGTGGTTCTTCTGTCTCTACTCCTATCCGGTGCATGTGTTTTCTTAAGTGGCAGTACCCTGTCAGGAGCCCAACCAGAATCCTGGTTCGGTTGCGGTTACCTTCCAGTAATTCATTTGAAGGTTGGGCGGCTGGCCCTTCTATCTCTGGCCTGTGAGTTTGTTCCACCTGGTTTTGGATCCATTTTAAGATGAATCCTCTTTTGTGGCAGGATGTTAAGCCACAGTGGGGATCAGGACCTAGAAAGTCTATGTTGGTTCTCTCTTTGACCAACAATCTTTTCGTTGCCTCTATACCCCGAGGACCCAGGGACCATGCCAGGGTCAGGACATTAGTGTCGCTGACTTCCGTCAGAGTCTCTATGTAGTTCCAAACAATCTTGCCTTCGCCTCGCACGAGGCTAGTGCCTTTACTGCTCCCCGACCGTCAGAGAAGACGTCTATCTTTCGGGAATGTATTCCTAGCTTTTTTATTTCTCTGGCGCATTGTTCAATCGCTATCATTTCAGACTCGAAACGTGTAGCATATTTCTGTAGGTTTACCGTCAGTTTGGTCTTCGGATTCATCCCGAATACTCCAGCCCCACCGTCTACATATATTTTTAAATATTATTGATGTATAGAGTATGATTGAACATAATCTAACGAGAGAAATGCTTTTATATGTTTCTTATATTAATAAAATATGTTTAGAAGTTACGAATGGTAGAATAAGAGAGTGTGTAAGAAAATGTGAAGTCGAAAAGAGTGTGAGTGAGAGAGAAAAAGCGAGTATTATTGAAATAATGTGTAGTAACGTTTATTATTCGGCCATTAGGGCACTGTATAGCTGGATTTTTTTTTTTTTACATTTTACTTTGGAATTTTTCGGGAGATCATCATTGCTGAGCTCTCACTCAACTATGGGTATTTTTTCACCAGGGAGAAAGAACCATCCGTACGGCTTCCTCCAAACGTCCATAACGTTCTTGGGCAGGTCGTCTGCCTTCTTAGCCTCGTCGGGGCCGGTCTTGGCGAGATCATTGTCGCTTGTTTTTATGAGAGCGCCCTCCTTCGACAACCTGAAAGTTCGAAGGAAAAATTGAACTTATTTTAACCTTTTTAAAATATAAAGAAAAATATACGGAGAATAAATTGGTTGATGGATTTTAACAAAACTCATATTCATGGAATGGGGAATAAAATTTTTTGGGCAATGGACGTACAATCCCTATAAGTTACATAATTTATATACATAATATTTAAATTAGTTCTGTGCAAATCGAATTTGTACTATATATCTCGAATAATGTTCCTTTTTTGTAATGCATGAAACTTTTGTTGAGAGTGGTCGTACGTGTTATTTCCCTTTACGTCCGACATTATTTTTATTAAAAATTTCATGTTTTTATAACAATATTACCCTCGTGTTTGAATCAAATGCAAGCTCTTCAAATTAACGATCCGCCTCCTATTTATCTTCGTGATAGTAATTTTCATCCATGTATAAACCGTGACAATACAAAAAAGCTCGCGGACGCGACCCCTAGGGAGGACTGGATTGGCGCTGGGGACGATGCTTCGGTTGGGCCATCGGCCGACACCCCCTGGACCTTTCCGGCCGTACTTGTCCGCGACGATCTGGCGAACTTATCCAAATCGTATACTCCGCCATACCTCTACAAGTCTAAGTTCCTTGAACTTAGAAATAGATACGCCGGTTTTCGTCTGATTTAGACAGAGGTGTCCAAAATCGGTGATGGTGTGGCGTGTGCTGTGTATAGCAAGGGAGTGGCCACCTTCTGGTCGTTGCCCCCTCATTGCAGCGTATACACGGCAGAGCTGTATCCGATTTGGCACACTCTCGAGGCGGTGCGGACCGGGGAGGGCTCAGCCTTTCTCGTATGTACCAACTGTTTGGCCTATACGCGACAGGTTCTCTGTGAACCATCTCCTCGTGCTCTTGTTAGAGAAATACGCAGAGCTGGAGCCTCACGGAAAAACGGAGGTTGTTGTCTGGATTCCCGGGCAAGTCAGGGTAACGAATGTGCAGACGAGGCGGCGAAACCCGGGACGTCCTACCATCCGGATCGGACCATCTCCATCAGGCCCCCTGACGCTGAACACGCAATAAAAAATATGATAAAAGGAAGATGGCAGCGTCAATGGGCGGGGTCGTGGAGAGGCTCTTGCGTATCAAGAGCAAGACCGTTAGATGGCCCTCAGAGAACCCGAGCAGGAGACGAGGGATCGTCCTCATCCGACTGAGGATTGACCATACCCGGTTGACACACGGGCACCTGCTTTTGGGCCAAAGCCCGCGCAGGTGCCCCTTATGCAGATAGGTTGCTCGATGTGTCCCACATAATAGAGGCGTGTCATGCCTTCACTCCATACAGAGAGCGTCTAGGCCTGCCGCCGGATCTAAGAAGAGTTCTCGAACACGGTAAAGTTTCAAGGCCCCCTGTTCCGCTTTTTAGGGGAATTGGGAATTTTTTATTTTAGACAGCCTTCAAAATATGTGTTTTGTATGAGTGAGTGTATTTATTAGAGTGAATGGGGAGGGGCTCATGGCAACCCCATCGCCCCTCGAGCTGTGTAGTTGACTTGGGTCGATGGCGGAATATTTATGAAAGTATCCAATCGACCCCAATCTAGACTAGTTTATTATAGGGAATAGGTAGATGGAGGAATATCGAGTATTCCACCTTCCAAACAGCATGAGTGCGATCAATGTATATAAGTATGAATGTATTTATTGGTGTGATTGTGTATCGAGTGTGTAGCGGTATTACGTTAGCGTTTCGGGGATGAAATGATCAAATTGTCGGATGCCCCTGTCAAAAAAAAATACCAAAAACCATCTGCACCCTTCCAAATCGGATTTATTTTCTCCACAGATGACCTGGAGCCATTTGGCCATTTCGAAAGAAAACCTTTCGCCAAAAGTGAATCGCCGTTTTGTGATTTCAACTACTTTTTAATTGTCTGCAGACTGTGCTGGCCGACTTTTTACAAAAACCCGTGAACTGTTTGAAAAAGTACAATAACTAATTTATTCCGAAATCGTTTTGACACAATGAAAAAGAATATCTCTTATCCTGATTAAGATCGATCTAATAACTTCAGTTTTCTTTTTCAGGATTTATTGTATGACCGATATACATTTATAACGTATTTTGACTAAATACAGACTAAATCAATACACATATTTAATTATGACCTTTGTGAATATTTTAACTGCTTTTTTCACTCTTATTTATGTACAATTGTAATATCGGGGTGCACCTATTTTATATAAAAAAATATAACCTTGTAAAAATATACCTTACGGGCTGATGCGTAATTTTTTATGTATGACCATTTTCGAGTTATTCATTTCGGGTTGTAGCGTCGGCTAGGCAAGAGTGGGAATGGGTAGGTCATGTAAGGTTAGGTTAGGAAGGCTAAGAATGGTTGGGTTCGGTTACGGTGAGGTTAGGTCGTTAAAACCGAAAATATTTTCTCCTTTAGAAAAGAGGGACATCGCTAATTTTGATTTGACTTTATTATTTACCAACGTCAAAAGCTTTTTTTTTTTGGTTAGGAATGGTCAGGTTATGTGTTAGGTTAGTAGTGTTAGGTTATAATAGTTTACTGACGTAATTTATGAGTATGGAAAATATACACTTTCAATTTGACATAAATCACACTGACTCACTACTAAGAAAGTCGAGAATCCAAAGCACGCATGACAAACAAAAACAGCAAGGGTAGACAAGTCAAAATGACATGAAACAAGGAAGCAGCAGACAGAAGCCTGGTCAGTCATAATACTTCACAAGAAACTCTCTTAAGTTAGAATCTGTTTTTAACTGTTTTACTAAATTTAACGCAAATAATTGGAAGAAATTAAACATTTAATTTCGATCCAACTTAAAGTCCAAATGAAAAACAAATCAACTTATAGGTTGGCTAAGGAAACAGCTATCCAGTTTAGGGTTAATGACCATGAAAAGACTGAAGGACTACAAAAATATCGCATTAAATCAAATATAAAATTGAAAAAGGGAAATAATTACAAAAAGGCACCTAATAGGTCGATTCTTGCAAATCTCGACACAGGACTGAACAGTTTGGCTAACACTTAGCAAAATTGGAAAATCATGTAGGACCCTCTCGGTACGCCGGCGACTTTTGAAATAGGACGAGAAAAAAATTTATGGAACACGACATATAAGCTATCACAATTTTATAAATAAAATATATACAGAAAACCTAAAGACTAACGTTAATGGAAGAATTCAGTTTATATACATGTACAAAAAAGTTCATGAAAGGCAAAGAAAATGCGGAGAGTTCTTACACATATTAAAAATTTACAAAATGGACCCGATTCGACAAAATTTCACAGACTCACTACTGAACGTAAAGAAAAACCGGTAACTTCTCTGGCCGGCCAAAACAGAGAGAATAAACAGATCAAAATGACCGGAAATGACCAACGACAGGTTCATCAGGAATTAAACTCGCGAGTTCATTTCATAAATTAAGTTGTTAATACAACAATATGGAAAACATAAATCTGGCCAATTTATGGACCAAAGATAGATTTTTATGAATATGTTGAGGTAGTCAAAGCTAAAACGTCCTTCATTTAAAATGTTGTGTTGACGATAAAATGATAGATGAATGATATAAAAATCACATAAGCCATGTATAAACAGGGAATATAGGAAATTATGACAAAATAAGGGACTTGATTGCACATTTCAAAACAAAATTTTCAATATAGAAATACTTGATTGATAGACATTTTGAAAAAGCGTAAAACAAATTCAACTTTCAAAAAAAGGACTTCATTCGCTTGCTTCCTTACTTCTTTTTAAAACTCGATCTAACTACAATATTTTTGTTATGCATAAAGATATTTTAATCGTAAAAACGGATATGTAATTCGGACATTTGAGATCATTTTAATGTTTGTGTCCTAACTGGTTCTGTTTGTCCGACGACATCATCAGTGGGGTGTTTTTGTCTCGCCTTACATACATCCCTGACTTCCGTTGCTTGTAGTCATGCCTTTTTCAACTTTTAGTATGCAAAAGTGGAAAAAATGGAAAAGTTTAAAAGAAAATAATCTTTGAAAAAAAAATTTTTTTTGTATGTTTCGTCACATCTCTTTAAATTCTGATCTAGTATATATTTAAGAGATTTTCTTGTGCATTAAATTGTTTTTATAATAAAAAATATACTCACGACACGCAAGAGGGCACTCTCAACACGACACGCAATAATGGCACAATTACACAGAAGACAAACACTTTGACGCTGAAGATGATCTCGATAATGATCGAAACGTTGGCACGATAAAGAAAATGTTTATCTGAAATCTACATCACACCAGACCGTATCTCACGATTTCTGAATAATTATAAAAAATATACGTAATTGGTTCGTTTCTCATTAGTCAATCTGTCTGTCCTCATTGTTTTGTCCTGTTCTTATATCTTCTCGCCATCTTCAGTGGTGGGTTTTGTCTATGCCTTACATTACTTATATCCCTGATATCGTGGAATGAGATATCATTGTTATACGACGATACGCGTTTAGCGGAAAAAAACAAGAGAATAGGAAACCAGAAACAACGTAACTACAGTTTCGTCAGCATCAGACATCACGACTATATCTGACAAGGGGTGTTGGTATGACATCAGCACTAGCTATGATGGGATTGCATGAAACATTTAATTTCGAACAAACCACTGATGAAACATGCAATTGTATGTTTTGACGCCTGAAGGGACATAAACCTGGCTTGGTCCGGTCTGCATTTTACAGCAGGTTTTGCTTTTCAGACTCGCTTCAGCATTTCGTCATCTGCGGCAATAGGACTTTCTATGTTAAAAGATGACATAATTAAGCAGTATAACACATAAGAACGTCTGAAGAAGGCATAAATTATTAATAGCGCATGTGAGACTATAGCCTTGGATAGGATTTTTTTTAAATAAATTAAAGGCTGCAACCTTATTGGTTATTAAGCCTTGGGTCTTTGCAAGTCAACGGCTCAGCCCGGCCCCCTCAGAGCGAGGCCCCCGCAGACCGCGGCGCAGTGGCAGCCCCAGGCCTTGAAAGAACGGAACCCCACGGATCTCTCGTAACCGATGCTTTTAGTCTTAATATTGCGCGCAGGACTTTATCGAGGAGGGGTCGGTGTCTAGTCACCATCGACACCTCTAAGCTCGCTGGAGATTCCTTGACTTCAGAGTCCGGGGAGGCATCCCTCAATCCAGCCCAAGACCGACCAGCACCCGAGGCCGCGCACGGGCGTCGCCAGAAGTCAGCCGCACCACACCGCCAACATGGGGAACCAGCAAAGGAAACAAGAGTTGAGGGGATGAGATATTAGATTTTATCAATTAGTTGGATGTCTATTAAGAAGTTAAAAATTTTGTTTATTGATGTTCAGTTGTTGCTTAGTATGGATTGGAGATTTTTGGGAATCTGATGGAGGGTTCTTTTAGAGGTGGAAAAAGGACAATCTATTAGGATGTGGGATATTTTGATGGTAGTTTTACAGAGTGGACATATAGGTTTAGGAGTTCTTTTAAGGAGGAATCTATGGGTGAGTCGGGAGTGGCCAATTCGAACCCGGGTTAGGAGGGTTTCTTCTTTTCGGGAAGGTCTAGAAGAGGATTCCCATTTCTTTACATCTTTCTTTATTGCGAGGAGCTTGTTTCCTGTGCAGGCACCCCATTCTAACTTCCATGCCCCACAGATGAGCCGCCTAAAGTGACAGCAGAGGTCACTGAAGGGGACCCCTCCGTGAGGAATACCACTCAAGGCTGCCTCTCTCGCCATACGGTCCGCCTTCTCATTTTCAGTTATTCCAGCGTGGCCTGGGATCCATTTGAATAATTCTACACCTACGTCTTGATATTGCTTTAACTTTGCAAGAATATTGTAGATGACTGGGTTTAGGAAGAATGTGTTTTTTAGTGTGGTGAGTGCTGAAAGTGAGTCAGAACAGATAATTAGGGTGGTACGGGACACATTATTGATGTTAATTGCTTTGAGTATAGCTAGGAGTTCAGCAGTAAAACTAGAGCAATGGTGATGTAGGCGGAAACGATATACTTGTGACTCACAGACAACAGCAGATCCACTTCCATCCTCAGACCTGGATCCGTCAGTGAAAACAAAAACTGTTTCTGAATGTGTAGATTTGAACATTAGAAATTCATTCTTAAATATATACAGGGTACGATCCTTATTGTAAGATGAGAGTGAGTAGCAAATGGAAGGAGTGGTGAGGGTCCACGGGGGGATGGGGATGTATGCGATTTTTGGACGTGAGGGACTTCAATTTTGTAATCTGTTCGGAGTATGTGGACTCTTAGTGGGAAGGAAAACCTGGGATGTGCCAGTCAGGGAAGTTTATCAGAAAGGAAAGGATTATCAGATAAGATCAAGACAGTGAATATTATTTACAAAGTGGGGGGCTTTTCTCAGCAGATCGTTTTTAAAAATTTCTGTCGATACTTACTTGAATGTGACGAGGTATTTGTCGCTGCTTAGCGGCATTGCTTTACTCTCCATGGGCATCGCGATGTCCCCCGAGCCGGGCCTCAGGTGGGTGAACCAACTCAGCTCCTCCCTGAACAAACTGTCCAATGCTACCAATCGTGAACATCTATCGTCCATTTTTAAAAATGGTGAATTTACAGATGATTTGGTTTCGTGCCGACCATATGTGAGGTATAAACCCTTCGGGTCGTCCCAATTTAAATATGTCGGGTGAGAAAAAATTACTATTTTGAAAACTGTGTCTGTTATGATTGTATTGGCAAGAGGGTTTAGATGTATGTTTATTTTGAAGAAATGGAAACCGGCCCACCTTAATTAAACATATGCGACTATAACAGTAGAACAAATCGTTTAAAACAAAATCCATCTCAAATGACAGTGTATAGTATTATTTGATTCAAATAACAATAATTAATATTTTAAATGCAAGAATACACAAAGTGTCTGCATAAATTTTAAAACAAAAATCCTAGTACTACAAATAAAAATAAATAATTCTTCCAAACTAAAAAGTAGCTTTATTATTTTATTACACAGCAGTTTTATTAAAAACATTTAGTAAACGAAACGCAGTTCGATGATATAGAAGATAATAAAAGAAGCTGAATCCCCACAATATTAATCATTACAGATTTATTCAGAAGTTTCAGTTGGCCTTCATGAACTAGATGATATAAGACTAATAAAATGGTACTGCGAAAGCAAAATATAATATATAAATATCTATCCTAATGGGATAAGTGATCTGGTTGAATGAAAACCAACGACGAAGAACCTCACCGTAACAAGTCGGTTTTCGGTACTGGTTGTGTGCCTCGATAAAAAAAGAAAAAAAAATCATTGTGTTCCTGTTTTGGCTGTATCCCTGAATGACGGGTGGTATAGTGTGGTTTGACGATCGTGACCCCGAAACGGCTCACCTCGGGTTCTCATCCAACGCTCTTTTCTCAATCTGGGTTCCTTCATTCTATCCTCTGACCCCTCCCAACCCTTGGTTGCAAGGGGAGTATCCGGGCACAAAATAAAGGTGTAGCCCAGAGAGCGTGGCAACCTCTCCAAAGCACAAGCTGTACTCGTGTCGGCCTAGGGTCGGCAAGGGCGGCGGGTGCGTTAGCAGAGTCACACGAGGGCCAGTGCACCAGATCCTGTCTGCATAGACGAGGGAGGGTGTATGGCCATCTGTACCACGGGGTAACTAAACCTTCCAAATTCAGCCCTACACACTAGTTACACTGGGAACGGATTTGTGGTGGTACGTGGTGACGCCCCTGGCAGGAACTTAGACAGAGGCTGTCTTCTATTCGTGAAGCTTGCGTATGGCCAGCGTTATTACCCCCGGCCTCACGGGAGACGGTTGACCGGACGACAGCCTATAGGCGTTGAGGACGCGATGGTTATGCTGATTAGTCCCTCGAATGCGTGTGTAAGCGAATGGAAACGGGTAGTGAATCGGTTGCTCCTACTCGAGTATTCTTTGCACGTAGGCCTAAGCTGAGCTCGATTGGAGGCTTTTACCGTAGGCGGTACTCGTCTAGGGGGTGGTTAGAAATCCCATTTTAAACGAAACCGCGGCCGGAGCGGATCCGGTAGTTTCTACACTAGGGAAGCCCTAGCTAAGGAACTCTAGCGCTAGGGAACTGTGGGAGATGTATTTCGGCTTAGGTAGCCCTTTGCGGGCAGCATACGGTTCGATGCTTAATGCGGACCCGACCACTCGGAATGGGCAAGCGGGGAGCGAGGTTGCCTTGGGCCTTCGGGGCTGAGCTGCCTCTACACCAATGCTGCGGCAGTAACACCATTCTGACGTATGTAGAGGCGCATCAACTCTCATCTTGAAAACCAAAACGTCTCGGGACACGGAAAAAAACAAAATATATTTGAAATGCATGCACGTCATCGAAAATGCAGACTGTCCTTGTAGAGGTGGGGAACAGACTTGGATGTACATCATTCAGGAGTGTGGGCTGTACAAGACCAATAAGTTGCCCTTGGTTAAGCATTCTGACTAGTTGAGGAACATGGCCTGATGATGAAAACAAGTTCAAAGGAGACTTTCTGAGTTTCGTTAATTCATTGGATATCAATAAACTCTAAAAATTTCTATTTATTAATATTATGGAAGGTATTAGTTGGGATAAAAAAGTCAGTGTCACGAGCGGGATTCGAGCCCACGACCTTCGGCTAAATACGCCGCTACTCTACCACTTGAGAAAATGGCAAAAAGGATGGAAAATTCGAGAGGTGACTTTGAGTTGGGAAGTTAGTGTCCGAGCGGATCGAGGCCACGATAGCTCAAGTGGTAGAGCAGCGGCGTATGTAGCCGAAGATCGTGGGTTCGAATCCCGCTCTTGACAGTGACTTTTTTATCTCAACCAATAACTTCCATAAATATTTATTAATTGAAAAATGATAATTGGTCAATCGGACCACGAACTGCAATGGATTTATATTTATTGTTAACCGTATCATTACTAATTAATTTATTTCATGTAATGAAAATAAAATTACAATCTTGAACACAATTGTCAAATGTAAAGTACAAAAGAATATATTATGTAACAGAATACAAAGTTATAGAAAACCTGTAATCATAATGGGAAAGGGTTAAAAGAAAAACAATCAAGTTCCCCACTGCAGGGCTACTTTAGTGGGGAAAAAAGTCCGTTTTCATTGATTTAATACAACTTGAACAGTGACGTGTTAAGTATTAACATCAACAGAATAAAATCAAAACGAATAATGAGAAAGTTCATTTACAGTACACAGTATTTTCTGAAGAATAGTCAATACAATTAAATTACGCCCTTTCACGAAGTTTTTATTTAATTGTTTACTTAAAATAATCCGAGTGTATTTTTCTTTTCTAGATAATAAACTACATGAAAAGTTGCTAAACAAGATAGTCACAATTATAGTACCTATTATTACTAATAGTACCTATTAGTATTAAAAATAATTTTTTTTCCGTCCTGGAAAATCCTTTCTGAAGAAAACACATTTTATTCATGAAAGCTAAGCTCAATTTTTTCTTTGAAAACTATGTATTTTTAAGTGTATATAGATCTTTCTACCTGTATGTGATATGTGTTATTTATTGGAAGGAATGTATTTATTGCCATGAATGGAGGGCTTATCTCCTTATTACTCCGAGGAAGATCGAGTACTCTGGGGTAGAGTGAATTTGTGGTGTCTGTTATGTTACTAGCCTGAATGGCACGATTTAGCCCAAATTACCCCGAGGAATATGGAGTACTCTGGGGGAGTATTAACATTCTGTGAATGTGATTTCTCATTACCCCGAGAAAGTGCTACCGCTCCGGAGTTGTGTGAACAAAGTCTGGTGTGTGAATGTATTCATTAGCGTGAATGGAGGGACATAACGCCAATTACTACAAATTATACCGAGTATTCTGGGGTAACCAGCTAACCAGACTAACATTTTTTTATCTTTTTCTGAATTTCTGTATATTTGTGTTATTTTATCCCCCTTCGGGGCCCTGGGGTACAGAGAGGATAGCAATAGGATAAAAAGAGAGAAGTAGTTACTTGTATCATAAAATATCAAAACATGACTGAATGATTAAAAGAAAGTAGTAGGTTTAAAACGCGAGAAAGATAAGAAAAGAAATGCAAAGCTGAAGAAGAGGGAAACTAAAAAATAAATAAATAAAATAATTAAATAAAAACTATTTAAAAAATAAAGTATAAACATGAATTGTGATATATATTGTGTATAGTGTATACAGGGTGAGTCATTTTTTCACGCACCATTGGAAAATCAACGTGGGTGCGTCTAATTATGACTCGGCACATTTTATTTTGTTAGTTTCCTACCAAAAAATAGGCGTCACTTTTCGGCACACCATTCGTTACAAATTAGTTTTAGTAGGTTGGAAGGAAAATAAACAAAACCAATATTATTAAAACATTCAAACACTGTGAAAATTTAAAAAAAATTCTTTACAAATTAATTTGATGAAGGTTTAAGAGTATTTTTTTAGCCTGATCATCGTTTTACGATAGACTAGGCTACTGTGTTGCAGCAAATGGGAGGTCTGTTCGAACAAATTATTATAATGATGTCGAACATTTTTGGTTTGCTAACAAAGGAGATTGTTACATTTATTTAATTTTTTACTTTACCAGAAAAAAGGAGATGGTTACATTTATTTAATTTTTTTACTTTACCAGAAAAAAGGAGATGGTTACATTTATTTAATTTTTTTACTTTACCAGAAAAAAGATGGTTACATTTATTTATTTTTTTAATTTACGAGAAAAAAGGAGATTGTTACAATTATTTAATTTTTTACTTTACTGGAAAAAAGGAGATTGTTACATTTATTTAATTTTTTACTTTACTGGAAAAAAGGAGATTGTTACATTTATTTTTTTTTTACTTTACCAGAAAAAAGGAGTTACATTTATTTAATTTTTTTAATTTACTAGAAAAAAGGAGATTGTTACATTTATTTAATTTTTTTACTTTACCAGAAAAAAGGAGGTTGTTAGATTTATTTAATTTTTTTACTTTACTAGAAAAAAAGGAGGTTGTTACATATATTTAATTTTTTTACTTTACCAGAAAAAAGGAGATTGTTACATTTATTTAATTTTTTTACTTTACCAGAAAAAAGGAGATTGTTACATTTATTTAATTTTTTTACTTTACCAGAAAAAAGGAGATTGTTACATTTATTTAATTTTTTTACTTTACCAGAAAAAAGGAGATTGTTACATTTGTTTATTTTTTTACTTTACCAGAAAAAAATACTCTTAACCCTTAATCAAATTAATTTGTGAAATTTTGTTTTTAAATTTTTACATTGTGTTTGAATAATGTTTTAATAACATTGATTTTGTTTATTTTCCTTCCAACCTACTAAAACTAATTTGTAACGAATGGTGCGTCGCAAAGTGACTCGCCTATTTTTTGGTACGAGACTAACAAAATAAAATGTGCCGAGTCATAATTAGACGCACCAAAGTTGATTTTCCTATGGTGCACCGAAAATTGACTCACTTCCTTTTTTTAATCTTAAAATCAAAGGAAATAAGCCTCGAGTCAGATTTAAACGCACCCACGTTGATTTTCCAACGGTGCGTCAAATAATGACTCACCCTGTATATTATAATATCAAAGTTGTTTCCCAGTAAACAGCTTAGTTCGAAGAATTATTAGAATTTTAATGAATGGTGAAAAAACAAAGTAAGGTTAAATTGGGGTTATATTGCAAATTTGTTATAGATATACGTACTTACAAATTGGTACATGTTAAGTTTAATTTTGTTACCCCTAGTATTATTTTTTTCACACCAACAGTCGGTAAAGTGTTTATTTAAGTTGAT